TTCTCCCCACATCATTTCCAAATACCATTGCATCATGTAAGTTAAAACTCGTAATTTTGAATGGTTTGCCTACTATTAAAAATGGTAGTTGGCATTCTCTGTCCTTTCATGAATTGATTAAAACAGGCTATATATTAAGAATGAATGGCTTTAGCAGTTCATGAAAACATTATGTGACTTCAGCAGTTTGTTAGCTCGAACAAGAATGCTGTTTGCCATTTTTAGTAACATGCAGCCCATTTGTAAATATTTTTTGTAAATCAGATATTCTTATCACGACTACCTATGTTTAATGACAACTCAACAAATCAATATAGATAACATTCAAGTCTTCAATTATCTACCTTTATAATTTTTAATTGTTCACAAAAGCATTCATAGTACATTTAGAATGATGATTTTCAAAGCACATAACAATGTAGATAATAATTAAGAAGCTTTATATACTGCTTACAATTGCTAAATCAAAAAGTATTTTAATAAAATATACTACCATTTTGCAGTTGTAAACAATCTGTAATGAGCTGTGGGAATAATTTTGGAAGAACATAACATAAAAACAGAGATGGAAGGGATCTTATAGGTCATCTAGTCCAACCCCCTGCTCAAGCAGGAGCCCCTCTGCCATTCTAGACCAATGGCTGACAATTTCTTCTTAAAAGACTCCACTGATGGAGCACCCACAAATTACGAAACAAGCCATTCCATTGGTTAATAATTATCACTACTAAGAAATTTGTGCTTAGTTGTAGGTTGCTTCTCTCTTTGATTAGTTTCCATCCATTGTTTCTTGTCTTGCCTTCTGGTGCTTTGGAAAATAGGTTGACACCTCTTCTTTGTGACAGCCCTCTAATATCAGAACACTGCTACCATGCTACCCCTAGTCCTTCTTTTCACTAGAACAGAGAAACCCAATTCCTACAACTGTTTTTCATATGTTTTAGCCTCCAGACCCCTAATCGGCTTTTTGGTCTTTTCTGCACTCTTTCCAGAGTCTTTTTAAAAAATAATATGGTGACCAAGTGTGGTCTTACTAAGGCTTTATAAAGTGGTACTAATACTTCACGTGATCTTGATTCTATCCCTTGGTAAATGCAACCTAGGAATGTGTTGGCTTTTTTGGGTGCTGCCACACACTGCTGGCTTAAATTTAGGTGATTGCCCACTATGACTCCAAGATCTCTCTCACAGTTACTGCTTTTTAGCAGGGACATGCAGTTAGGGGAGGCAGGGGAGGCAGAGCCTCACTATTGTTATCACGAAAAGAAAAAAAATGTAAAAGGAAAAAGGCAAGAGCCAGGTTCCAAGAAGTAAAATCAATGACAAAACTGGCATGAGGATTCTCATATGACATTGCTCTAACAACTGTGCGGGCTTCATGAAAGAACTAGAGTTAGAATTGCTGGAACTACTATTGTCACATGACATCACACTTTATGACTATGTTGCTTAACAACAGAGTTCCTGGTCCTATTACTATTATTAACTTAGATCTAGTTAATAGTTCCAGAACTGCTGGAACTACTGTTGTCACATGACATCACACTTTATGACTGTTGCTTAACAACAGAGTTCCTGGTTCTATTACTAATATTAACTTAGAACTAACTGTATAGCAATTTTTATTTATAGATAACATAAAGTATGATGAGGACAGGCAGCAAAGATTGCAGACCTGGCATCTAAATACTGAATAGATGCTCCAATTTTTAAGGCAAAGGAATGAGGTCCTTTGTGTATGGTAGAAAATAGGCTGAGGGCTATTATCCAAATATTTATTATTTAAGCCATTATTAACATTTTCTCCCTTAAGTCTAGTTATTGAAATATTAAATAGCAAGGGACTTTGTATTTGCTTTACTAATTCTAAATATGTAGAACTTAGTAAAGTGTCAGGCACAAAAAATCAGGAACCAGGGTTATTCAAACAAGAACATGTTTATTCCATGCTGCTGTGGTTGACCTCTCCCTCAGGCTCAGCCTGGTTATCACCTACATAACATATAATTAAATAGCTTCAATATTAATGAATAGCTTAACACCCATGCAATTGTAACTAGAGTAGTTCTGTGTCCTATTTTACAAAGCATAAGACCTTCATTTGAAGAGTTCTTCAGTCTAAGTGTAATTTAAAAATAAAGGAACAATTAAAGAAAAGGAGGGCATGGCTGTCATTGGCTATCAAAGCTCTGTAACAGTAAATTGTGTGGACACAAAGTACTTGATTACTCATTTCTGCTCTGCTGAGGTATTTTGTCTTGAAATAATTATAGTGATTAATTTTAAGATTATATCAACATATTAGCATATATTGATACAATTAACATATACAAACTGAAATGAAATTATATTTGTTTTTTGAGATAAGGTGCAGTGATACATTTCTCCTTTTCTCAGAAAAAAGTAAATAGAAAAAAGCCACTTTAAGACTTGGCACAACAAAAATGATATATTAATTTATGAATCCCACAAGGTATGTTACAAGATATTTTTGGGAAAGTGTCTCAAGGGGAGGATTGAAAGAAATAACAAAATGAAGATTACAAATCAATTTATTCCTCAGCTAGCAACATTTGGGTTTGAATTTTAGATCATGTGCAGAATTCCTTTTTAAAAAGACACAAAACAATATGACATACTATCTGGGCTTTTGATTTGAGTAATTCTCAAGAGATTGAACATAAAGAAAATACTTCATCTTTTAATGAGATTCTGAAGTAAAATCTTATCTCATTATACAGATATTTTCACCTGATGGAAAGAAAAGCTGATGTAAATAAGCTATATAGCTAAATCAGAATTATTTAGAAGTTACTTCAATCTCTGTAATAATTCTGAGCCATTTACAACAAAATGTTCCAATCCCAAAGGGATATGCTTTGTGTTTTTTTTTAAAAAATTGTCTCAAAATGTAGTTCTCTAAAATTTGTGAAAATGCAAACTCTAATAAGTTACTCATAACATAAAACAGTAACAATGACAAAAGTCACATAAGTTCACATGATAACCAATTCATTTAAAAAGCAAGCAAGCTGTAGAGATAAAGATACTGAACTCAATGTAGAAAGATGTTCAGGTCTGTTCTCAGCTATGGAGACTCACTGTCAGCCCAATCAATGGGCCTCATAGCCACTAGCTCCTATACTTCTGCCTCTGTTAGTTACCAATCAGTTGATTGGTGTGCTAGATATTTCTTTATAGCCTATTATTTTTAATAAATTCTTAATTTATTATCAATGTTATTCTTTACTCTTTACAAGTTGTGCAGGCTTGCTCTATCCTTAAACTTATTTACTATATGTACATGGACATCATGTATGGATGGTTGGCAATTCAGTAGCCTGTTATATGTGAAAAGCTAGTGAGACTTACCCTTTTCTCTTTTTCCATACATAATCATTAACTACATAATTTATTTGACTAAGAAGTCCCGAGAGGATACATTTTTTGTCTTCTAGCAAATAGCCTACTTCCTCTATTGAATGCATCCTAGGAGGCCCAAATCAAACTCATCCAGTATAAAGGCTACATCCATCATGCAATAAATGATTATGAAAAAGGACCATCCTGTTGCTAAATGCTTTTCAGTGAAGCAAGAACTGCAGCAGTCTTGTCTCATACCAGGATTCAAAAGAAACTTTTGAAGTAAGTAATCATTTTAGACAAATCTTCCTTTGTGCATTAAATAATAAAAAACCCTTCAATTTTATTAGAATTAAATTTCTTAAGATTCATCCTGCTTCATACCTTTCCTTTCCCCTTGGTTTTGAGGTTAACACAGAGAAGGAACGATGAATACCAGTGACCAGCACATAGTGGGGAGGCTTGCCTAGTTCTTAAATGTATTTTAGAAGTGTAAAACTGCAAAATAATATTGATTTGTGTAACTGGGTCTGAAGTATTCTGGGCTGTTCTTGCTTACTCTGAGTTACTGCTGCTTCGGAATAAGGATATAGCCCTGCAAGCATAGCTTAGATTTTTTACTTTATTTCTTGGTTCTTTATTTAAGACATAATTTCTCCTCAAAATTATCCCCACTATGTCACAGTGGCTTTTCTTAGGAAAAAGTAAAGTTTGGAAATCAAGTATTGAATATGCTTTCACATGTGAAAAATCAAGATTGGTGTCTGTGTCTCTGTCTCTCTCTCACACACACAAAGACAAGCAGACGTTAAGGTTGAGTCAAGAATAGTTAGGCTTCTGTTTTCAGGCCTGATTATTCATGATGTAAAATGATGAAAAGTTAACAAGAATAATAAAATCCCCCCTCCTACTTCCTTTTATAGGCTACAGCATTTTGTTATGATTAATTGGTGCTGTCAACTTGTACTCAGCCAGCTGTTATAAAATTGCCTGTGGGCGCTCTGTGCCAGCTCATATACCCTGTACACTGAAAGGCACCCATTATGATAAATTGTGATGCTATCAGGAGTGTCTTGGCCACCTGCTTCATCTAAGCTACCCTGGCAAAAGTTTATCTTACCTGAGCTCCTGGAATTACCTAATAGCAGATACACAGCAGTTTGTTCAAGACAGATAATGTTAAAGTGAATAAAATAAAACAGAGTTCCATTGATCAAGAGATGTTCTAAAAACATAGTGGAAAGAACAGACAGAACGGAAAAAGCAAGAGAAGAGTAGCGATTTGGCCAGAGGGCTGGAAAAGAAAGTCAAGAAAGGGACATTCCACTGGCTGCCCCCCTCGAAGGCCCAAGCTGTGGGAGGCCACCCTGACCCCATCCTGGCAGTGCTTGCAGGTAGCATCAGGCTACATTATCTTTTCCCTGGAGCGCCCGTGGATATCTCCTCCTCCTCCTCGAAACAGGCTGGGGAGGAGGGACGCAGGAAGCAATGGCACTCCGAGCTGAGTTGGTGGTGGCTGCTGCTGCTGCCGCCGCCGCCGCCGCTTATATGTCGATGGAGGAAGGGGGAGGAGCAGGAAGGTTGGATTTTGTGCGAGCGAGATGCTTGGCAGCCCAAGTTCCCGCTCAGGACTTAATACGGTAGAGTGAAGGTCGGTTCTCCACTAGCGAGAGTGCCGAATAAAAGATCTGACCGAGGCTGCTCGAAAAGGGCCTCATGCGCGCTGCCTTTGGCTCAGTCTACCGTCTTTGTTGCCTCGTATTGCCGAAATATTCGGGATGGAGCATCGTGCCTTGCGGTTGGCCCAACTTTTTCTCTTTGTGCTATGGGGTAAGTACCTAACGCTACGGTTCCCGGGTTATATCTATCGCATTGTCAAGGAGACGCTTGAAAGGGACATTTGCCTACGCTCGTGAATAGTATGCTCAAGGTATGCTTGAACAGCATCGTTTGCTTTGCAGTAAGTCCTTTAGGAGGAAAAAAGAAAACAGAAAACCAAGACAGAGTTTGTCAAAGAACTCATTTTGCTTCTCTATAGACTGATTATATCTGAAATAGCAAATCAATAATATAACTAAAAGTTTGATATTATTCAGGAGCAGGGGAAATTTTTTTTTTTGGGGGGGGGAGAGACAACCACTCTTCTAGCATCTTGCTTGAAGCCTCTATTGGCAGTGTTTATTCAGGGCCACAAGCCCAATTCTCAAAATGCTAGATTTGTAGGTTGATAAACTCAGTGCAGTGTTGCTCATCCTAAAGAGGACCATCTACTTTTTGGATGCCTTTCATAGTATGATTGATCTTGGGTTCCAGTGAAGAACAATCAGTAGATCTCATGAGTTTTCCTGAACCAAGAGGTGTAAATTACATTTGATGAGGAAGGACCCCAATCAAATTCTTTCAGGACCTGAGAGCTGCAAAATGAATTTGGCCTCATTATACATGTTTCTGTTCTCAGATTATTTTGGTTTTCTTGGCTCCTTTTAAACGCAATTTGTTTATTTTATGGTTTCAGTCTACTAAGTGTGTTTCTTACTTAAAATGGCACTAAATACTGCATTCAGTGTTTAACATGTGTGGTTGCAGCTACTCCAAAGACTGCAGAAGAGAAATTTGGGGACATATGCAGCTCTAAGACCACAGATTTCCTACCCTTGCCCAAAGGGATCTAGCAGGATCACTTCAAGTGTTGTGGAAAGAAAGGATAAACTTAGTTTTGCCCCACTGTGTGCACTCTGCAGCAATTTTCTTAGCACATCAGATTTCAATACACTTTATCACATGAAGGGTATAAGTAGCATATTTTTAAGTGCAACTGATTTACATACATGTTACATTGAAGCTGTATCTGTTATACACTGTTACATACTGGCTCAATGAGATGGGTGTAAATACAGCTGTTACCTGACCCCAGTAGTATATCTGCATTGGAACACTGTGTGTGTGTGTGTGTGTGTGTGTGTGTGTGTGTGAGAGAGAGAGAGAGAGAGAGAGAGAGAGAGAGAGAGGTGATTTAACATTTCATTTCATAATAGCTGATGGAAACTAGCAAAATATTTTGTTCAACAAGAAATATTTTAAGTTTGAAAGAAGGAATTTTTAAAAAACCATTCCCTCTTTCTTTGTGAGAACAAACATCTGTTGCAAAAGCAATAATAATTTCCTGGCAAAGGAGACTTTGCTTAGTCTAGGTTTTCCCTCTCCTTATCTTCTCCCTTCCTCATTATTAGTTAGTTCCAGTGGGAGATTTTTGTTTTCACCTAAAAACTTGGTAATGATGTAACTATTATGGAATGGGCTTCTTTGCCATATAGCAGATATTGAAAAAGCAAACCTGAAACATAATAAAATGAAAGATGAATTTAAATATATTTGCAGATACTAGGATACATCTATAATAGGTTTAGGAATGTACTAAAGAACATAACTATCCATGTTTTTTTAAAAAAAAGTGTTATGGAAATGACAGTTAAAATATCTAAAAGCACATGAAACTGCCTACAATATGGTTAATTAAGACTAAAAGCTCACAAAACAGTATAGTTTGGATAATTGTTGGCTAGAATGTGAGCCATTTGAATGACTGAATGAATGAATGAATGAATGAATGAATGAATGAATGAAATTTTGAGTGGGATAAGCATCGTGATGCTTATAGCCATCGGTATATGAACCTTCCTGGAATTGGTTGCTAATAATCTTTATTTTTAAATTTCATTTTATTTATTTAGAACAGATAGCTTTAGTGGAAACATTCAAAATGAAGAGCTGGTCTTCAGCCACTTGACATCTTTGTATTGTAGAAAAATTTGTAGAAGATAAAAATAGTAGGTAGGCAAAAGACAATGTTTTGCTCTGAAACACACTCAGCTACCAAAAAAGAATACTCAAAGAAGGAATAGATGCTGTGCCAGTCAGTGTGACATAGGAAGGTTTTCATATAGTAGTCAGGCAAGCAGGGAGGACCCTGGATGACATGAAGCAGTAAATATGAAATGGTACCAAGGAAACATGAATTTTGATGGGGAAGGTTGGGAGGTGATCTAGGATAAAGGAGGAGGATGAAGGTTTCAGAAAAACAATAAGATAATTCAGTGGAAGTATTAGAGAACATGGAGAAATGTGCATGGATGAGACAAAATTTTACTACTGGTTCCTGAATGTAATAATAGACAAAATGAACTGAGTGAGAGAGACTAAATTTGGGGAATGGAAAAAAGAGAGTGAAAGTCATAACTATAGATTATTATTTTTAAAATGTTTATATGCTACCTTTCCTATATATTGAGTCATTTGGAGATTAGGTGACCGTATAAAGCCAATAAATAAATATGTATTCAGGGATTTAGGCAAATTTGTCCCCCCTCCTCCAATCTTTCATTTGGGTTCCATTAAAGCTTTTGAAGGAGCTGAAGAAGGGTTGATGATTTTTCAGAAAATTATTTGACTTCTGCCTTTCTTGTGCTTTCTGATTGGATTTTACAGCCCTCTAACAAATGTTTTTTGGAGAAGTTATGTTACTTTCAAAAAGATAGATATTCCCAAACATTCTAGAAAATGTATCAATTAAGGAAATGAATTTAGAAGCACGTAGAATGTTCTGATCAGCTAATGGTGATCTAGAATTAACAATACTCCATTTGCATATTTTGCCCTGATTTTCAGTTCTTAATTCTGACTTGTTAATAGTCTATGCAGAGGGTACAATAACTTCCAGAGATATTTTGAACAAATAGGGCTATAGGGTGGCTTCTACCCTTTTGTGTTGACATGCAGACAACAAGGCATATATATACCTTCCTTTGTGTCCTGATCAGTGCACAATTGAGGACATCATAGTAACATGACATAATGGAATTAATGTTGCTAGTTGGATGAGATCTCTCTAAATACACATATTTTAAATTTTATGTCATATGACATAATGTCATATTCATATGCCTTATTTTAATTGTGATGCTTCTGACATGAATAAACAAAAAAAAACCTTTTTAAGTACAGACAGATCACGTATCATTATAAAATAGTGAGACTTAAGTAAAAAAAAGTTACCTTCTCAGAAAAATTATCGGTTAAGTTGGAAGGGGTTTAGGACATTTAGGTGCTGACAATTAGCTGCCCCTACTATGCTTCCAGCCACTCATCTCAGCTGATGCACAGCAGCTTTCCTCCTCCACTGGCCCTCCAGTCCCAGCCCTTCATCCCGAGAGGGAGTCAGGACTATGGGCAAAAGGGGGACCAGGAGGCTAATGGGACATCGCTGAGGAGATGGAGCCAAGATTGCTCCATCAGATCACAGCGGATTCTGACTGCAATCTAAATGATGCTTCCATGCTGCCCCTTGCTTCCTTTTGCTGCTGTGGCTGCTATACCAGAGATGGGCCGGTGCCTTTCACCTATGGTGTAGTGACAGGAAATGGCAAAGGAAGGTGGTAACTGGTTGTTACCACCAACTTTTGATCCAGGAAGGCCCAGAAGACCATTCCTCTCTAGAATGGTATACAAGCGGCTAGCTGCACCATTGACTCTCCCCAGCAGGGGCGTGCCTGGCATGGAGCTTGCGAAGGGGAAGGGGAGCCACAAGTCGATTGCAGACAAAGACACTTTGACAGATCCTACGAAGCAGTAGCGAGGTAATTTTTTAAGTGCAAGTACTTCCTTCTTTTTCTTCTCCATATTGGGTTTATAACTTGATCTTGTTCTCAATGGCCTCCAAAGTCCTTCCTGACAGTTTGCTTTGAATAATAACCAAACAAAGCAGGGAGCAATCTAGTATTCAGGATGTATTCGAGATTGGAAGGAAACCTTGCTTTAGGACTAGATCAGGGATGCCAAACCCTGGAGCACTGCTAGAGCACACACAGCAGACTTCCTTCCATAATGCTTCGCTGAGATTTAACTGACAGTCAAACGAAATACGAGAATATTTTCAATGCTTGGGGTATTGCATGTGCAAGTTCTCTCAAAATATGGCATATGATGGAAGCTCCAATATTTGGCCATAGAGCCCAATAATTCAAAACTTGCTCTATAAGAGATCTTTCTTAAAGATTGTGTCAGATTCAATAATAGTTATTTTTAAGGTTAAAAAATAGTTTTATTTCAGCCAACCAATTTAGGGATATATTTTAGCCAATGTCTGTTTGAGCACTGTCTAAGATTTTCTGTTTAAAAATTTCCTTTGAGATTGAGAGTAGATGTGGAGAGAAAACTCTGTGTTGTGAAATAACTGAACAGGAATTGATCCTGAAAATGGGCTGTATCATATGTATGTGTTCTATGAAGCTTATTTTGTAAAGCTAAGCTTATTTTGTAAAGTTAGCAAAGCATGTATACCAAAAATGGGAAATGAATATGAAAGTTTAAACACAAGGCTTAATCATTCTGGTATATGCTTTCCTGCAGTTTTACCCAATTTAATGGCTCTCAAATGTATTGGGCTGAATTTTTTATAACCAGCTCTCAACCTGGCATCAGGTTGGGCAACACTATTTTATAAGATCTTTCTCTATTGAAAAATGTTCTAATGCAGGGGTGTCAAACTCAATTTAATTAAGGGTCGCATCAGGGCTGTGGTTGACCTGGGGAGTGGAGGCAACTGGGTGGGGTGGCCAACTGGGTGGATGGGCATGGCCAGCTTGACGCCACCTTCAAACTGCTGGCATGTTTGCTCTTCGCACTGGGTAGACCAGGCCAAAGTAACGTGGGCCTGATGTTTCCTGTTCACATTGGGTAAACCAGGCCAAAGTGATATAGGCCCAATGTTTTCTCTTTGCATTGGGTAGACCAGGCCAAAGCCACATTGGGTAGACTGGGCTGAAGTGCACCAG